TCTGGCCCCCCACAAGGTCTGAGGGACAGTGGACCGGCCCCCTGCTGAAAAAGTTTGCTGACCCCTGCTCCAGAGCATTGCAGACAACTACAGTGGTAGTTTCCAGACCTGACATATAGCGCAAGGAACCCCAGGAAGGCACTTATACCGACAAGCCCTGGCAGTTACCTTAAAGTGCTGGATGATGACGCCAGGCCTGATTGAAACACTGAAGACTCAGGTATAGAAATGACTAGTTATACCTGCTGTTTAATTAAGAGTCTTCCCAGACTGCATAAGAAGCCTTTTAGGGGGAATTCCACTTCTCATTGGTAAGGATATCTTCCTGGATGTACTTGCATGACTCTTGCATGACTCTACTTCCAGCAGTGATTGATGACAGGTAAGTGGCCCATCCCATAATGATTCAGCTAAAGGAGGGATGGAAGAGGGAAACTTTGCCAAAACATAACAGGTATACTTGGATGACAAGTTATTTCAGCCTCATAACTATACCAGATGTGGCGGTTTTCTGGGATCGTTCACTGCCTTCTGCCTTAGGGATTGTCCTCAGTGTCATCTGTGGGGTTCTCCAGAAGCTTTTATCCCCAAAAGTCTTGCAAATATCCTAAAAGGATGTTGGAGCATCCCAGAATAAGCACAACTACTTTCTGTGGCCCACGCTTCCATATGTTAAAATCTGTGGCTCATGCTTCATATTTCAAAGAGGGAGGGGAGCTCGTGATGGAATCCAAGCATTGACAAAATGAGAATGCTTTCGGGTAACCAGAAACTATGGACTGGGGTTGCAGTATATTCAGAAGATTCCTAAGGATCTAGCCTGGAGAACAAAGTATTTAAGCCGGCAATCCCAATTTAGTTACCCTTAACTAATAAGCCTCACTGATCATAGCATTGTAGTGCCAGAACAGGAACAGTCAATGTGGTTTCCTTCAGATGTTGCTGGACTTCAATCACAGAGCTGTAGAGCTGGAAAGGACCTCTTCGAATTCTATTCACCAGCATAGTCAACAAGCAGAAATGATGAGAGTTCATTGGGGTGGCCCACATTGGCTACCGCGGTGTTAGAAACTCATTCAAGGAGTTATATTTTCAGCTGGAGAAGGATGAAGAAGCTGTAGGTGACTCGTTATAACAGATGGCAGTTGAAGTTCGCATGTTGTTGTTTTTATCCTGTGTGTAGGAATTCGTGTTGCACCAAGTGAACATCAAGGTCAGGGGCTCCTCATCTTTTTTTAAAAAAATGATATTTATTGAAAATTTTTAAAATTACAGAAAAAAACACAGCAGAAAAAGAAAAAAGAGAAAACAAAAAGAAAACAAACCACATCAAACAATGCAGATTCAAAAAACAAAAATACACCACAAACAAATAAAACAAATCCATCATTCTCGAATCCTCAACTTTCATTACCTTCTTTCTTTGACCTCCTCCTCCTCCCTTTTTTTTGTATCCTAGTTATTAATTATCGCAGCAAATCCTTTCCATATTTCATAATATTCTGTCATTACATTACCTTAATCTATTTTCATCTTATCTTATAGAAAACCTTAAAACCTAAAACTTAAATCTTATTTTTACCAACTTCTCATAACCATAATATTCTTACCTAATTCTTTAAACATTTTTGCTAGAGCCAAGTAATTTCATTCCAACATTTTTCTAACATTCATCAATTTTATAAAACAATCCTAATAATAAAAAAAGAAATAAAAACAATCCAATCTTCATCCAGCGTCCTTTTCTCCTGGTCCCAGGTTTTGTCAGTCCTTTTTATCCCATTGATCTAGCGCATTAACCTGGTAACCTTATGTCCGAGGCCCTTAAGTCTCTTCCATGTCCCTTCCGTGGCTCTTCTTCATATTCTCCTTTCACTCGTGGGAACTCCAGCTTGGTAATGTTTTTGACCCTTTTCAACAAATCAGCCCCTTTTCCAAAGACCAGATTAAACTCCATGTGGTATTTGAAAACATGTTTCAGAATCCCTCCAAAATTAAGAGCCCCCACAGCCCCAAACATCTCACGGCCCATTGCCAGACTTGGAAAGTCCAAACATCCCTGCATAGGGGGGTCTATCCAACCCCCCATTTCCAAACCAGTCCAAACTTTATCTTTCCAAATCTGGCTTTTTCCAAGTTCATTTGTCAAGTCCAAAAGCTCATGTTCCTGCAGGGCCACAGCTCCCTCCATCTCTGGCGCCCAAAATTCAGCAACATCCTCTTCTCTCATCTGTTCTGTCAAGGCACACTCCTGATTTGATTCCTGGGTGGGCTCCATATAGTTTCTCACTGCCTGTTCAAAAATTCTGACCGCATTAGTCATCAAATCCGTCTTCTCATTTAACTGTTCCAGTAGGGCATTTGTTTTACAGAGAGCACACCACAGAGCTTCTGAATACATTGTCCTACAAGGTCACAGGTCTATTCCCACGATTGTAATCTGTAACAGCTGCAAGCTCCCTGGAATTAGTTACAGTTTCACAGTCTCCCTCTAGGGGGAAACTTCTATTTGTTCTTTCTTTTAAGTACAAATCTAGCAACAAAGTTTCCTTTTTGAGATATTTTGTCAATATTTGTTCCTTTAAAATGCGAAAGGGAACAGTGGAATCACTATGTTTCTCTTCTTTTAGCTGTCTGTCAAAAACGTTTGTCTCTAAGGTGCTGGCAAGCCCAGAAAGGCATCTCAGCTCCTTCCCATACCTGCTCAGGAACTAAACCATTCCCTTGATCATAGTTTGGAAAGCAAAAGGGGAAAAATATTTAAAACCAGGTCATAGCCCTGTTACCTCTTTGTATCCAAATCTTTCACTCTGTGCCTGATGTCGAAGTTTACTGCAGAGGGAAAGGGAACATTTTTTAAGTTAACAGGAAAAACCCAAACATGCTAAAAAACTTCTAATAAAGGAGAGACTACCAGCTTCTAAGGCAATCTGCTATGCTAGCAAACTGCTCATACCATCCAGCACTTCTTCCTCATGCTTACCCTAAATCCAGTGTGGAAACCACTGGCCCTCCAGATGTTGCTAAACTACAATTCCCATCATCCTTGGCCATGCTTGTGGGGCTGATGGGAGTTGCGGTTCAGCAGTATCTCAAGGCTTGTCTACTGTGCACCCATTTTTCAATCACTCAGTCCCACAAAGCTACACTACATACGGTCTTAGGTGACCTGTGTGATCCCAGCCAAACTGACGACTTCCCCTGCTCTCACAGAAACATAATGCAAACATACTGCCAGTTTTGCCCCCTATTTGTAACAATGTCATTCCTTCAGAGCAGCTGATCCATATCAGAGGTTTTATCAACACATGGAAGAAAAGGCAGGATAGTTGTTAAGGCCAAGAAATCCCTGAACTTTGTAAAAGGCGAAAGATTTATACGATCTGAAGAGAAACCAGAGTACTATATAGAGGACTATTGTATTGATGAAAACTAAGTGTGTGAAGGTTTATAAAATGCAATATAAAATTAGGAAATGCGTATTTAAAAATTTGAATAATGGATGATTGTCAGAGAGGTTGAAGGAAGTCTAAAAGAGAAAATATGTGATAAATTTAGATTGGATACTATAAATGTATGTTGGAAAATTTAATTAAAAAAAAAAAAGAAATCCCTAAACTTTGGAACTCACTGCCTATTGACAGCAAGCAGGCTCCTTCACTGTACTCTTCCCAGTGCCTGCTTAAAACATTTTTGTTTAGGCAAGCCTGCCCAGACATATGGAAGCTACATGTGTTAATCTGTTTTTAGTTTATTGTTGATTTTAATCGGCTTTTGAATGTTTTTCAATATGTGGTTTTAACCGCCTTTTATTGATAATGCTTTTTTTCTTTTCTTGTTGCAAACTGCTTTGAGGGTTTATTACGATCACGTGGCATATATAGGTCATTAAATAAAAATAAATGAACTGTGACGTCAAAGACAAGCGGCAAGGCTTTGTTATGTCAAACTGGCAACATCTCATTTGATTGCAGTAATTTTATATGTGGGGCTGCCTTTAAAGATTATTTTACAAGAACTTATATTTAAAAGTGTATGCATGATGTGTTTCCCAATTAATCCTGGGTGCTTTTGAAGTAGATTTAAATATTTCTGCAATTGATTAATCTTAACCAGGGAGGGGGAGCGTCCTTTTGCTTGCGGGCCGCATTCTCTCCTGGGCAAGTTTCTGAGGCATGAATGCCACTGAAGGGCAATGCCAAGAGCAGAGGTGTCTAGAGTAATGGTACATTCCAGCCACACAAACGTCGTAGGTTTCTACACATGTGCGCAAACATGCCCTCCATCCAGGTGAACAGGCGGCATTAAGGACACATTCCTACCCGACAGAAGTACGCAAGGAGTATGCAAAGAAAGATAAGTAAGGGGTGTGGCCTGGGAACAGGGGCGTGGCCTAATGAGAATCCCGAGGGCCAGATTTGGCCCCTGGGCTTGCGTGTTCCTCACCTCTGTGCTAAGCAATTTAATCAGTGGAACATTGAAACCCTAGCAAGAAACAACAAATAAAATCAATGTGCAATTATTGCCTACATACGCTGTGGACTTCTGAATGGTGGCTTATCGCCACAGATTGGGAGGCTGCTTTTCCAGACAGCCATTCGGCAAAAAGAAAAACAACAACCAATTGGTCCCAGGCAGATGACACTTGCTGGGATTGGCTGCACAGAGTCATTCCTGCTTCCAGAACTTTTTTTCCCTAGGACTGCAAAGCAGAAGAAAGTGAGAGTGCAACTGCTCAGCCATATGCTTCAAGATTGGAAGCTCAATGGAAAACAAGCTGGAGCTGCCCCTGGGCAGGCAGTTAAAATGCTCAAGGGATGCTGGCAATGAACCTGGCTCCAATCCTGAGGCTTAGAACTTTTGGTCAAGGCTCATTCAGACACCTCGCCAGGACAAGCACCCATTCACGGCTGTGGAAGTCAAACCGGCTGGCCTGAGCTGCTGGAGGCAGGAAACAGACAGTGAATAATAGGGCTGGGCTAGGGGCCACCACATGGGAAAGAGCTGTAGCTCAGTGGTAGAGCATCTGCTTTGCATGCAGAAGGTCTCTGGTTCAATCCCCAACACCTCCAGGTAGGAGCCATGCCAGTGTCATTCTTGACTTGCAGCCACCTTCAACATCAATCAAGAAGGACCAGAGAGAGCTAAAGGACTCTGTATCTGGAGAGTGGGATTAAGAGTGCTGAAACCTCGACTTCCGGTTGGTGCCAGCAGCAATGGCTGACCTCCTTTGAAGATTCGGAGGGGGTAGCTCGGCGGGAGATCGGGTCCTGTGCGCTCCGGCGAAGCGGGGACCCTCAGAAATCGCAGGCGCGGACGCCTGCGAACGTGGAGGCTCGGCGGGCACCTTGAAGCGCCCCCACCTGAAAAGAAGCCTTTTGGGGCTTCGTAAGGGAGCGGGGAGAGAAGCGCGGTGCTGCGAGCGGATCGCTGCTCCCGCTGAGTGAAGCCGCGTTGCCGTTGCTGGAGAGCGCTGACTTATTCCTGAGAAATTCGGACTTAAAAACTAACCGTGAGTAGAGGAATTGGATAAAAAGATTAGAATTTGGACTAATTTGGAACTTGGGTAAAAAAGTGGAAAAGTTTAAAGACTTTAAAAAATGACTGAATTGGCTACTGCGGTGGAAGCTTAAACAGGAAGTCGGCTTCACTGCGTTGTGTAAAGAACAAAGCAAAGAGATTTGAAGCTAAACGTGAAGAATTGAATTGAAATAAGTGTAATCTTCTAACCTGAGGACTTTGGAGGGATCTACCCTTAAGAGAATTAAGGGAAAGACTTTTGATTTTATAGGACTTTTTAGATTGAAAGATTAAAGGAGTGATCTGTCACCCAGCTGTCAAAGCTGTCAAAATCGCTAAAGCAGTCTGCTGGCTGTAAAGGAGATACAGAGTGGCCAGCTTCACTGAGAAAGACTGGAAAGGACTAAAAAGTTATATTGTAGCTCTTACTTTGGACTCCTTTTTTTCCTTTTACTGAGTATCTTTCCCTTGCCGTTTTAAAGACAGTAACTTGTTAAGTGGCAACAGTGTCCATCTAGTGGAACTTTCTGTAACTGCAAGAAAGGAAAGGAATTTTCCAAGTATAAACAGGAAGAGTGGACGTGGGAAAGTAACCTGACCTTCACTTTGTTATGGCTGATGGGTTTAAGGACCAGTCAACCTTGAGATCAGGGAAACCTTGGACACATAGAAGGCAATCATCTGCTGGTCTGCCGACATCGGCAACACAATCTAAGATTGGTGGAATGTCTGAGGAATTTCTAGTTAGTGCTCTTTCTAAGATTAATGATTCAATACAGCAGCTTTCTACAAAAGTGGAAGAGACGAACAGGAGGGTGGAAGAGACTGGTCAGAAAGTGGATACTGCAAACAGGAAAATTGACCTAAATACAGAAACATTAGGCAACTTGGAGAAAAAAGTAAACAGCAACACGGAGTCTATCCAGAAATTGTTGCAAGACTCAAAGTCAATACAGGAAAAAACTGCTGCTGTTGAGTTTAAATTGGGGCAGTTGGAAACTGAGAAAGTACCAGATATACAGAAAGAGATTGCAGAACATAAGCTAACGCTATCTATGATAGACCTGAGAGACAAACAAACGAATCTCAGAATCAGAGCTGTTCCTGAGCTGGAGAAAGGTACTTTGATAGACTTTTTGACACAGGAATTTCTGGACTTTTGGAAATCGGAATTGAAACAAGAGGACTTTAAGATTGTGAGAGCCTTTCGATTGGGGAAAGGAGGAAGAAAGATCAAAATAAGGGATTGTTTGATCACCCTTCGATCTAAGGAAGAAAGGGACAAAATTTTGGGTTTGCATTACGAAAAACCCTTGACAATTATACAATCAAAAGTTGAAATCTTTAAAGATATACCAAAACACCTTCTTGATTTGAGAAAGGATTTTGGGGATCTGGTAGATTTGTTGAGAAAAAATAAGATTCTTTTCAGGTGGGAATTTCCCCAGGCCTATCCTTTAGTTTTAAGGGAAGAAAGACCAAGATCAGATCAGTGGAGGAAAAGAACAAGTTCCTGAGTGCATATGAAGAAGATCTACTGAAAGGATTGGGAAAAGACATTGCGATACCGGACAAGAAGCAGGAAAAAAAAGTGAAACCAACGCCACCGACAGACATAGAAAATCTTCTTGGGGCTGCTGGAGGAGAAGGAGAGTAGCTACAAAATGACACTACAAATTTTAAGTTGGAACATTAATGGTCTAAATTAGTCGGCTAAAAGGGGAAGAGTATTTCATACATTGAAAAAGAACATTTGGACTTGATCTGTTTACAAGAGACTCATGTGACAAGGCTGCATCGGATAATTCTGATACCTCTACGTTTGGGAGAGGACTTTATTTCATCGGACAATGTTATTCAAAGAGGGGTAGTACTTTATGCGAAGGAAAGCCTGTCACCAAAATTCATATTTAAAGATGATCAAGGAAGATACATAGCAATTGAAATTCAATTCCAAGGACAGAAATTTTTGATATTAGGAGTATATGCACCAAATGAGGGAAAATCAGAATTCTTTAAGAAATTGCATGAAACTCTTCTGGACTATTTGGATTACAATATTATTTTGATGGGAGATATGAATGGAGTAGTGTCTACAAATATGGACAAGGCCCAAAGACAAACAGTGACAAAAGATGGAAGATTACCAAAGACATTCTTTGAAATGACTGACAATATGGATCTGGTGGATATTTGGCGAACAAAGAACCCCTTGGAAAGAGAAGGAACCTTCTTCTCTGAAGCAAATATGACATGGACAAGAATAGACCAAATCTGGATAACTAGAGGACTGGCTCCTAAAATCAAAAAAGCAGTGATTTGTCCGAAAATCTGCTCCGATCACAATCCAGTAAAGATTGAAATGACATTAACGCCAATTGGGGCCTTTAGATGGAGGATGAATGACTCCTTATTTAGGAATGAAGAAATTGTTAAAAAGGCTCAAAAAACCTGAGAGATTATTTCGAAATAAATTTGAACACGACGACAGAAAAAGAGTGATTTGGGACGCTAGCAAAGCGGTGATGAGAGGATTTTGATACAACAAAATGCAATCAGGAAAAGATACCAAAATGAGAAGAGAGAAAAATTCTGGAGAAAATAAAGGATGGAGAAAAAAGACTGAGAGCGAAACCGAACTCACAGGAGATTTTAAAAGAAATAAAGCTATACCAAGTACAGTATATGAAATTGATGAATCAGGAGATAGAATGGAAGATTCAACAGATGAAACAAAAGACCTTCGAATCGGCAAATAAATGTGGGAAGTTACTGGCCTGGCAAATGAAGAAAAGACAAAAGCTGAATACAATTACAAACTTGGTTGTAGAAGGAAAGAACATACAGAATCCTGGAGAGATTCGGAAGTGCTTTCAGAATTATTTCAAACAGCTATATACGCAGGAGGCTCAGAAAGATTTAGATATTGACCGATTTTTGGAAAATAATGGATTACAAAAATATCTCAGGACAGTAAATCAATATTAAATTCGACTATATCTGATCAAGAAGTGGAAGGAGCCATTCTGAATATGAAATTGGGCAAATCCCCAGGGCCAGATGGACTAACTGCAAAGTATTACAAAACTTTGAAAGAATGGCTATTGCAACCGTTGAAAGAACTTTGTAATGAAATACTACGGGGAGGAAGAGCACCCGAGTCGTGGAAAGAAGCGTACATTACACTTATACCAAAAACCGAGGGGGAGAAGACACAGTTGAAGAACTACCGTCCCATATCCCTGCTAAACGTGGATTACAAAATTTTTGCTGAAATTATGGCTAAGAGATTAAAAAATGTATTGGTAAAAGAGATTCATAAAGACCAGGCGGGTTTTCTGCCTGGAAGACATTTGTCAGACAACACTAGGAACATTATCAACATTTTGGAAAAACTGCAAGTTAATATTAATACTAAAGCTGTTTTAATATTTGTGGATGCAGAGAAAGCGTTTGACAATATTTCTTGGAGTTTTATGAAGAAAAATCTGCAGGGGATGGGGGTAGGCCAAAGTTTCGAAAATGGTATAGGTGCAATTTACTCGGAACAAAAAGCTAAGCTTATTGTGAACAATGTAGTTACAGAAGAATTTAAGATAGAGAAAGGAACAAGACAGGGCTGCCCAATCTCCCCATTGCTTTTTATATCGGTCCTTGAGGTTCTGCTCAATATGATTAGAAAAGACCAATTGGTTAAAGGTATACAACTCGGAGCTAAACAGTATAAATTGAAAGCTTTTGCTGATGATTTAGTTTTGACAGTACAGGAGCCAGAAGCTAGCACAAAAGGGTGTTACAATTAATACAAGAATTTGGTCAAGTAGCTGGTTTTAAATTAAACAAGATGAAAACCAAGGTATTAGAGAAAAATCTTACAGAGATAGAGAAGGAGAGATTCCAGAAAGAGACAGGATTAACAATTGTTAACAAAGTGAAATATTTAGGGGTGAACATGACTGCTAAAAATGTGAATTTGTTTAAAGATAATTATGAAAAATGTTGGTCAGAGGTGAAGAAAGATCTAGAAATATGGTCAAAATTGAAGTTATCATTGCTTGGCCGAATTGCTGCGATAAAGATGAATGTACTGCCTAGAATGTTGTTCTTGTTTCAAACATTACAAATTGTGGACAAAATGGACTGTTTCAAGAGGTGGCAAAGAGACATTTCCAAATTTATCTGGCAGGGCAAAAAACCTAGAATAAAATTTAAGATATTAACAGATGCAAAGGAAAGAGGGGGGATTTGCCCTGCCAGATCTTAAACTTTACTATGAATCAGCCGCTTTTTGCTGGCTGAAAGACTGGCTACTTCTTGAAAACGTGGACATTTTGGATTTAGAAGGTTTTGATAATGTTTTTGGATGGCATGCATATTTATGGTATGAGACTCGGGTTTTCCAAGATGGCGAACGGCACTTAGTCAGCGTGAGTGTGAGCTCCCTGATTTATCTTTTAACATTGTTTTAATGAGTATAGAAACCTTTTAACTTTTAACTTTAGTTTTTAGTTTTTAGTCTTAGTTTTAAATTAGTAAGTAGGAGGACGCCTTT